ATTAAACACAATCTAACTTACAAAAGTAGCAATAACTTATAGCTATTTAGAATTACAGCATAACCTATTAGTAGGCACTGAAGTGAAAATATCTAATGAGTGTCAAAACACTTTTTCATAGATTAGCTTTACTCTCATGTCAATGCATCTACAATTTTTGGCAAGTTTATACATTTTATATTTTGGGACTTATTCTGGGAGTACTTCAAAATCCGTTGAGGACATAAGACTCGTTGATCTATTCACTTTCCTCAAATGCCTGAAAAACCTGTTTTAAAGTTCGAAACTCATAATCTTGTGGCATGAGAACTGTGGCCATATTCATAGGCCAACTTCAAATTTTGAAGCTTTGAAAACATTGTTTTGATGTTTGTTATACATGATTCCACGGATAATCTTGTTGAAGGTTTAAGAGGTGATCACATGAGTGTTTCCTGAACATTTCTTCAATATTCAATATAATCTGTGAACTTCTTTGTCCCATCAATTTTTTTTGTTCACTCTAGTTCGTAAAACTTTTAAAATTTGCTCTATGCGGTCCTTCCATTAAGTTTTTTGCTGGGCCACATTCGTCTTTTTTACATGGACTATCATGTTAGCGTTTATTGGAACAAAATTTGTGGGACTGCACTCTTTAGGCAGCCCCTTCTTTTCCTTTTAAAATAGTGATTTTCATACTTCGTTTGGGAGTGTAATAGTTGCAGCTGTAGACGTGACTTCTAAATCCTCTGAACTGGTGATGCAGTTTGGGATTGAGCAGTTTTCATCAAATTTAGGGGGACTTTACCGTACAAATTGATGCAAGCTAACTTTGGTGTGCAAAAAGAAACACACCCTCTGCTGTAGCTGCTCAAAATGTGAATGTGGATGTGGTTTCTCCACTATCTAGTAAAGCACCATGCATGGTTTGCCTCATGTCCATCAGTTTATATGTATCATGGAACCTTAATGAATTTGATGAGGTAGTCAAGTAAACATTAACCACTATGAATTTTCACTCAACTGGCTTTGATCTCATATTTTCAATCAGGGTTACTTTCAACTGCTGTTCTCTTGTATTCGAAAACTGCTGGGTTTCTTGAACGTAAGGAGCCTTGTGATACCAGCTGCTGCAGAAGCGGAGTCTATATGGACAGACAAATTTGGTATCGTAAAGATAAAACTTGACCTGGTGTTTAATTGGATCAATCTATCTTGCACTCTATATTTTCAACTGCTGTTTTCTTGTATATGTTTTTCTTCCCCTTCTTTTTCGTGTTGCGATTTTGTATATTATTCACAATTTTTGGCCCCTCTCGACCATAAAGAAACCGGTCTCAGGGATAGGTTGAGAAAAGGGGGAAATGGAGGAAGCTCGAACATTGCTTTTTTGTAATGCTTAAAGGAGAAACGTTCCGAGTAAGCAACGGTTTAATATGATAGTTCTGCTATTTAGTCGATCCACTTCTTTGGAAGCTTATGTGTGCTCGCTTTCGATTTCTTTTTGCTTTTTCCTATTTGCCCATGTTAGAAATTAAAACAAATTCATGAATGTCGAGACTATCAATGAGTTGTCGAGTCGAGGTTGAAGTTGTCGAGCGATTACCTCAATGTCGATAATGTCGATGATTGTTCGGTGCATGAGTCTTTATTATATTGTTGCTTTCCAAGTGTCTCTTCGCGTCTCGATATCTAGTTAATGTTTTGAGAGTTCCCAGGAGTCTATCTCATTGGAATGTTGGTCTTATTTATGAGTCATTTAAGAGTTTGTTCAATAGTCATGTAACTTGTCTATATAAAGGTATGTCTTGTAATTACGTTGACAATGGGAGATAAGGTGAAAGAAATCAAAGTAGAAGTCTATTGATATCCTCTTCCTTGTGTGTCTTGAGTTGAGAATATCTTCACCTTCAAATTATCTCCCATCAAATTGGTATCAGAGCTTACGATTTGTGATCATGACCTCAACAAACAATCAGCTTCCTTTGCAATACCTTCGTCTTACCAAAGAAAATTATGGTAATTGGGCTGCTAGAATGAAAGCCTTACTTGGCGCCTATAGTGTGTGGGAAGTTGTCAACACCGGCTATGATTAGCCAAAGGACGACGCCACATTGAATCAAAACCAAAGGAATGCCTTGGAGAAAGTTCGAGCAAAAGATCAATATGTCCTGTCAATCATCTATCAAGCTTTAGATGATTTGATGTTCGAGAAGGTATCAAATACTTCTACTTCTAAGGAAGCATGGGAGATTCTTCACAACACATACCAAGGAGTTTCAGAAGATTCACCTTCAAACTTTGAGAGGTGAATTCGAGGCAATCTGTATGAAAGAATCTGAATCGATTGCCGATTATTTCACAAGAGTGTTGGCAATAGTAACCAAATGAAAAGAAATGGAGAAGGTGTTGAAGATGTTCGTGTTGTCGAGAAGATTCTTCGATCCTTAGACAAAAAGTACGACTATATTGGCGTTGCGATTGAAGAGTCCAAAGACCTTGATGCCATGACGATCGATGAGCTCATGGGTTCATTGCAAGCCCATGAAGAAAGATTTAAAAGAAACAAGAATGAGCCAGTGGAGGAAGTACTCCAAACTCGGTTGACCATCCGAGATGATAAGGAGCAAAGTAGAGATCCCGTGAAAACTCGTGAGACTCATCAAAATCGAGGTCGAGGGCGAGGTCGCTTTCAAGGAAGAGGTCGTGGACGAAGTAGTGGAGATATTGCTCGACATGACGGAAGATACCAAAATCAAAGAGGTGCTCTTGGTAGATGATAGAACTCGAGAGGGCAATGGTATGATACATCTAAAATTCGATGTTATCATTGTAATAAACTTGGCCATTATGCTTCTAACTGTTGGAACAAAGAGAGTAGCGGAGCAGACAAAAAGGCGAGCTTGGTAAATGATGCCAATCAAATTCTTTTATTGGCATTCAAAGAAGATGAAGAAAGACAAAATGATACGTGGTACTTGGATACCGGTGCAAGCAACCACATGTGTGGAAGAAAGGAGATGTTTGCTGAATTGGATGAGACAATCAAAGGGAAAGTCTCGTTCGGTGATGATTCTAAAATTCTTGTTGAAGGCAAAGGTACAATTTTGATTCGTCTGAAGAATGGTGCACATCAATTTATTTCTAATGTTTATTATGTTCCAAAAATGTCAAGCAATATTTTGAGTTTGGGACAGCTTCTTGAGAAAGGTTATACTATCCACATGAAAGATCTTAGCCTTATGCTAAGAGACCAAATAATAAACTGATTGCAAATGTGAAGATGTCAAAGAACCGGATGTTTCTTCTCAATATAAAAAATGAAATGGCTCGATGTTTAAAGGCATGCGTGGATGATCCTTCATGGCTGTGGCATTTGAGGTTCGACCATCTCAATTTTGGTGGACTCAATTTGCTTTCTCGAAGAAAGATGGTTTATGGCTTGCCACATATTGATCATCCCGATCAATTATGTGAAGGGTGCATAATTGGTAAGCATTCCAAAACAAGCTTTCCAAGAGAAGCAACTTATCGAGCAAAGAAGCCAGTTGAGTTGATTCACTCTGATGTGTGTGGCTCAATCACTCCTTAAACATATGGTAATCGCCAATACTTTGTTACATTTATTGATGATTTTACTCGAAAAACCTGGGTGTATTTCTTGAAGGAGAAATTGGAAGTGTTTGATACGTTCAAACAATTCAAGAGGTTAGTTGAAAAAGAGAGTGGCTATTTCATCAAAGCCATGAGAACCGATCGTGGAGGAGAATTCATTTCCGCCACATTCAACAAATTTTGTGAAGATCATGGAATTTGACGTTTCTTGACGGCTCCATATTCTCCCCAACAAAATGGCATGGCTGAACGGAAAAATGGAACCATTCTTGACATGGTTCGAAGTATGTTGAAAAGAAAGAATTTGCCCAAAGAGCTTTGGGGTGAAGCTGTTATGTGTGCTGTCTATCTTCAAAATAGATGTCCCACAAATGGACTTGAAGGCGTAACTCCACAAGAGGCATGGAATGGGAGAACACCAAGTGTTTGTCACTTGAAAATTTTCGGGAGCATTGCCTATGCTCATATCCCGGACTAAAAAAGATTGAAGTTGGAAGACAAGAGCAAAAGGCTCATTTTCATCGGGTATGATACCTCATTCAAAGCTTATCGATTATTTGATCCTAACACTTTGAAAGTATATATAAGCAGAGATGTCAAGTTCGATGAAGAAGGCATATGGCAAGACAATCCTATAGACGAAGCAAATGCTCGTGATAATTCAAGACAAATGGAGTTGAAGGATCTCTCTTCACTCTCTTCTCCGATATCTTCTTCAAGTTCATCACCACCAACCTCTTCAAATGGTGTCGATGAACCGCTAGTGCCAAGATCGTGGAGATTGTCCGAAATTTATGAAGCTACCGATAAGCTTCACCTTGTATGCCTTCTTGCAAATTTTGCACCGCTTGTCTATGATGATGCTGCCAAAGAAGAAAAATGGAGAAAAGCCATGAATGAAGAAATTGATGCCATCAAGAAGAATCAAACATGGGAACTTGTGGTTCTTCCAAAGGACAAGAAATCGATTGGTGTGAAATGGGTGTATAAAGTCAAGAAAAACGAGAAAGGAGAAGTGATAAGGTATAAGGCCAGGTTAGTTGCGAAGGGATACAAGCAAAAAGCCGGAATCGACTATGATGAGGTTTTTGCCCCTGTTATTCGTATGGAAATGATTAAATTAATAATTTCTATTGCAGCTCAAAATCATTGGCAAATCTATCAAATGGATGTCAAATCGGCATTTTTAAATGGCATCATTGATGAAGAAATTTATGTTGTCACGCCCCGAACCCCCATCGAGCTCGCGACATCCCGCTTCGGTCGAAATATTGCGACGTCTCAGGAACGTCGCCGACCCAACCCAAACATCAGAGCCACATGCGGAAGCGGATATATATAAAACAAAACCCCAGACAGAAAGATGACGACAACGGGGTAGAACAACAGAACAGACAAACAATAACAACAGCATTTCATACAATATTACTGCACCACAAAAACTAACATTATATTACAAACATATGCAGCAAACTAGCATCCGAAATCACCGTCATAACAAAATATCAGGGGTTTGGTTATCTTAACTTCACTATCGGATAACCCAAGTTAAAAAACCCCTAAAATACCCTAGGGAAAGCCTACTGGTCATCCTCATTTCCATTCTACTCATGATTCTTTGGGCTTGAGTCTCCGGAAACTCACTTGCAGTTCCACTGGGCACCAAGAGCGACTCTTCGCACTTCAAAAAGAGGAGGCGGTTCCCTGGGTTTACGGCTGGGGGTCTGAAATTATGGATTATACAACTATGAGATGAATCTCAATAAGTGTACAACCCCAAACCCCATATAGGCACTCACGTACCGCCAGACGAAAACACGCAGAACACATATAATCAATCAAACTAACAACCACACACGACCCTACCTGGAATCCATCATGCATGTTCCTGCACGTTAGACAATAACACAGCCAATACACCACAGCGATGAATCACAGCCACGCATGTGCCTTGATTATAAAGCAAAACCTACTTGGACACGTCCCATACCGTGCCTAGCAGTATTTTACCCCATAATCGAGCACCATAGCAATCGATACAAACACACTCGCACACTGACCCACACCACGCATCACTTTCCCAAATCTCGCACCTCAAGCCAATTCCTGCTCGATCTCAACTCTTCCACCACTACCGCGCCCGCGTAAAACGCATCAGGCCAACGGCCTTCTGACCTCGTCAGGCATCGTCACCCTGTCGGGCCGGGCATCGTCACCTCGTCAGGGACGGCATCGTCCCGCGTAAACGAACACGCCTCAGGAAGGAATCCTACCTCTCCCTTTCCTTAATTACCGTGCCCGCGTAAAACGCATCAGGCCAACGGTCTTCTGACCTCGTCAGGCATCGACACCCCATCGGGCCGGGCATCGTCACCTCGTCAGGGACGGCATCGTCCCGCGTAAACGTACACGCCTCAGGACGGATCCCCTTTTCCAACCAATCCTACCTTTCCGTACCTTCGTTCCACACATTCCACACGTACCACACGGCCACACATACACACGGCCATACACAATCCCACACCACACATGCCTTACGCCAACACACATTACCATCACACAATCACGTCACACGGCCACACATGCTTGGCACGCGGTCATACACAATTTCTCGCTCATAAAAATAAACATCCATAGCATCAGGGTAAATCTGGGCAGTTTATACAGTGACCGAAATCCCATCAAAATAAATAGTAAACGAACTCCGAAAATTCTAAAATTTGGATATATCATAACACATCTTGATCAACATTTCTTATGAAGAACACGAAATTCGGTTCAATCTACAACCATGCCTTTTTGTCCCTCGAAATCAGACCAAAATCAGTTCGCTCTAACAGACTATTTTGTCCTCAAAATACATTTATTTCAACACCCAAATCACCTTGAAAAGCTTTGAAATTTTTATATGTTATAGAAAAGAGAGTCACCAACAACTTTCATGAAGGAATTTTGTTGAAAATAGATCTGGAAAATTTTATAAAAATTCGTCAAGACAAGAAGGTCTGGATAAACAGTGTTCCGGGCGGTTTTGATACGGTCTGAGAATGGGTCTTCGTGCGACCCAAATGGTCTCAAAAAATTTCAAATTTAAAATATGTTATACTTCAAGATGTGAGGAAAAACTTTCGTGAAGGACATCACCCCTGATTCGGCCTCCAAAAATCTCTACAAAAATAGTAAACCGGGAGGGTACAGAAAACACAATTTCGAGATTCACCCAAACTTCAAGGATCCGAGTCCTTGTTGATACCCACCGAACTCCAGCCCTCAAAATTCATTCCACAAGGTTCAAACTACCATACCACAACGATCACGGCATTACACGGCAATTTCACGCAATTAATTGCCGAATCAAATTATCCAATCTACGCGCCGAACAGAAAATCACAGCCCTTATGTCAGCCCCAAAACAGCCATTTAAACTACCCAAACCGAGCCCTAAACATGTCTAACAATACCCCGAGGTCCTACGTAACGTTTGGGGAAGTCACTTACCCTAAAAAGGCGGGACAAACTAGCTGGATGGGTGGCTGAAACGGGCGAAACAGCAGCAGCAGCTCTGGCGGTGATGGTGTCCGAACAGCTAAGGAGGAGAAGAACGCGGGAGAGAGAGGGAGAGTGATCGGGAGAGTTGGCTGAATGAGGGGGAGGAGAGAGAGAAATTGTCCAAGCTGGTCAAATATGATGGCTAGTGGGCGCCACGTGTCGCGATCCTACGCGATCTTCCCATTTTGCCCTTGATCCAACGGCCCTCGTTGGTCTTATCCAAATAATTGAGGGGCAAAAAGGTCTTTAGCCCCAATAATTGAGATAAATCCAAATCAATTAATTCCTTAATTATCCCCAAAAGTCGGAACCAAATTTGGCCTAGGGGCAAAATGGTCATTTTTCCGGTCCCGGGTCGTAATTCCATTTTTCGCCCATAACAACCCCAAATGTGTGTGGCCACTCAGAAATGGTGTCGGATTCGTAAAAATAGCCTCCTAAGCCCTCGAAAATCGATTGCGAATCCGGAGGAATAAAATAATAATTTTTCCTTTCCCGGGCCAAAATTCCAAATTTTTATCGTAACCACTCCAAATATGCGTGGCCACCCTAAAATGACATCGACCTCGAAAAATAATCTCATACGGCCTCAAAATCGACATCGGTGACCAGAGGGGCAAAATCGTAATTTTTCCGGTCCCGAACCGAAATCCATTTTTTTTGCAGAAATGGGTGGCCCCAAGGTTGGCCAAGCCAAAAACGTCATCGGCCGCTCAAAATTGTCACTTTCAAAATTCTCGATTCCCGGGCCCGAATTCCAAGAAATGGCTAAAATCGAACAATCACGACTTTAGCTTATCTCTGGCTAACGGGTGGCTCATTGGGATTACGCGCTCTCGACCCGTGACCGACACCAAGTCAAATCACGTTTAAGTTTACTCTACCCGGGACGACCTCGGTTGTCATATAATTGCGAGGGTCTGTCGCTAGTTCCCTTCGGACACGATCAATCAAATAGACCGGTCTCGGTTGGCTCAAAACATTCCCTCGTCAATCCATATGGTCGAAGATCGGACCCAGGTCGAGTTTTTTGGTCGTGCGAACTCAATCCCATAATAGCCCTACCCCTAAGGTTAGTATCCCGTGAATGCGCTGTTCCAGGTGAGATCTCACTATAGTGTATTGATCAAATTCATTTCTTAAATTCCGGGAAAATGATCGAAACTTCAGACTGTTACATATGTCGACCAACCCGAGGGGTTTATTGTGAAAGGTCATGAAGACAAAGTGTTGAGGTTGAAGAAAGCTCTATATGGGCTTAAACAACCACCGAGAGCGTGGAATTCTAGAATTGATGCGTATTTCAAGACAAATGGTTTCTCTCAATGTCCATACGAACATGCACTTTATTTGAAGCATGAAAAAGGTGATGTTTTATTGACATGTTTATATGTCGATGATCTTGTTTTTACAGGAAATAATCCAATAATGATCGATGCATTTAAGGCGTCGATGGTGAAGGAATTTGAGATGACGGATAATGGTTTCATGAATTATTTTCTTGGCATCGAAGTGAAGCAAAGTGCAGGAGGGATTTTTATTTCCCAAAAAGGATATGCAAAAAATATCCTTGAAAAATTCAACATGAAAAATTGTGCGCCGATCAATACACCGATGGAGTGTGGAACCAAGCTTTCAAAGTTTGATGAAGGTGTAGATGTGGATCCAACATATTATAGAAGCTTGATTGGAAGCTTGAAATACTTGATATGTACGAGACCGGATATCATGTATAGTGCAGGAATCGTAAGTCGATACATGGAGAAACCAAAGTCGACTCATCTTAAAGCTGCAAAGAGCATACTTCGCTACATCAAAGGTACTATTGATCATGGCTTACACTACACTCAGTCTAAATCATTTCAGCTTTGAGCTTACTCAGACAGTGATTATGGTGGAGATATCGATGATTGGAAAAGCACTACAGGCTTTGTATTTTTCTTCTGTGACACTGCTTTTACGTGGTCATCAAAGAAGCAACCAGTATTACTCTATCAACGTGTGAAGCTGAATATGTAGCAGCGTCCTCATGTGTTTGTCATGCGATATGGTTGAGAAGGCTACTCAAAGAGATTCATATGGAGCAAGTGAAATTAACAGAGATTTTTGTCAATAATGTTTCTGCGATTGCTTTGGCGAAAAATCCAGTTTTTCATTAATGAAGCAAACATATCGATGTTCGATATCACTTCATTCAAGAGCAAGTAAAAGAGAAAGAGATCGAAATTTTTCATGTGAAGACCGGAGACCAAGTAGTCGATATTTTTACAAAACCTCTCAAGGTCGATGCATTTCGGAAGTTGAAGAGCCTACTTGGAATGATCGATGGAAGAGAATTTGGTTTAAGGGGGAGTGTTAGAAATTAAACCAAATTCATGAATGTCGAGACTATCGATGAGTTGTTGAGTCGAGGTTGAAGTTGTCGAGCGATTACCTCGACGTCGATAATGTCGATGATTGTTCGGTGCATGAGTCTTTATTATATTGTTGCTTTTCAAGTGTCTCTTCATGTCTCGATATCTAGTTAATGTTTTGAGAGTTCCCAGGAGTCTATCTCATTAGAATGTTGGTCTTATTTATGAGTCATTTAAGAGTTTGTTCAATAGTCATGTAACTAGTCTATATAAAGGTATGTGTTGTAATTACGTTGACAATGGGAGCTAAGGTGAAAGAAATCAAAGTAGAAGTCTATTGATCTCCTCTTCCTTGTGTGTCTTGAGTTGAGAATATCTTCACCTTCAAATTATCTCCCATCAGCCCGACCGCTTGCATTTGCTGCTTGATATATGAGATGTAATGTGATGCTCCTGTTCGCAATAGCAATACTCCCAGCATAAAAGAGCTAATAATTTGATTTCTTAAAGTAAGGTGGTAGTGGTGTGGTGTCCTCCAAGGTCAGGAAATATTAAAGATCCATCATATGGGAGAGACGTTATTTATGCATAAGAAGTCTTTTCGGGTCGCCCACTCCGCATTACGCATTCTTTTTGTCCAGCCATATGGATCAATCCCATGACTAACTGGCCATTTTTTGTTCACCACAATTGTCACATGAATTGGATCTTGTCGTTCTTAATATTGCACCGCGCAGAGCGATTAATTTTTTTCTTTTCAAAATCTTATGATAACAGTTATCGGGGGTACAGTTATTGAGGAAGGGATGAGATGCTGTTGTTCAGTTGGATTCTTGGTTTCAAGGAAACTTGAAGGAGCATAGGGCAAATTAGTCCCTCACCGTTATTCGATCTATATATCTTAAGGAGATATTCGTTTATCATCCTTTTCCATTTCAACTTAGTTGTCACTGCAACATAGTTTTGTTGTTCTTCTTAGGTTATGCTGGACCATGATATCTGAAATAAGAGTCAATGAAAATTTCGAACACGTTGTGAAGTTTCCCTCTTGTTGAGATCTCTGACAAAATTAGAAGGTCAAGAGCATACTATATTTAGAAAACTCTATATCGAAGTTAGACCGAAATGACAATCATCAAATTTTTATGCCCGCTCATCGATGTGGACGTGAAAAAAGTCGAGTCATTTGCAATATATGTTTCGTGCGGCTTGACGCACAATGGCTAAATGGATACGGAACAGTCAAGTGTGAAAGAAGCACAACAGATAGTATTCCGCGCACTCAGTTGAATGCACTTCTTATTCAATCCACGATTCATATCTACTTAATCACATGAACTTTATGATGCCTCAAACAGCTTCCTGGGTTGGTCCTGCCATAATATACTGCAACACTCGCGACACATTGGAGTGAGAAGACCCTCCCTCCTGCATTGCTTGTCTTGCCTTCTCCCCAAGTTCAGCCGCTCTCTTCCTTCTCTCTTCTCTTTTTAATCCTCAGACACCAGCGCATTAATAGCCCTCACGATCTCATCTTCGTCCACCAAGATACCAAACTTCCTTTCCTCCCCCCTTCTCACCGGCACCTTCACGCCCACTCGATCTCCAATCTTCAGTATGTCCACCACGAGCACCTCATTCACGAACTGCTCAGAGAATAGAGGCCAAGTTATCATCTGCAGCGCCGAGCACACGCCTTCTAAGGTCGAGTTCCAACCGCAGTGCGTTAAGAATCCTCCGATTGCTCGGTGAGATAGCATGGCGACGTGAGGAGCCCACCCTCTTATCACAATTCCTCTTC